GTAATATTCCATTGTATATACGTACCACCTCTTCATTCATTTGTATACTGATGGACACTCAGATTGCTTCCATATCTTGGCTATTGTAAATAATGTTACAATGAGCATAGGGGTGCATATATATCTTTTCAACTTAGTGTTTTGGATTTCTTCTGATAAATACCCAGAAGTGAAATTGCTGGGTCACATAGTAGTTTAGTTTTTAATTTTTTGAGGAATCTTCAGGTGGTTTTCCTCTATGAAGTATTTTTAATCTTATTTCATTGGTATGGAAACTCAGGCTTACAAAAATAAAATGACTTATCGCAGGTAATACAATTAGTGAGTTTTGAAGGCAGGATTTAAATTAGTCTGCACACATGCAAGTCCATGACCTTTTTCCTATATTCTAGTAATGAAGTATGCAGTACTCCATGACTCCCAGGAACTTAAAAGGCCAATGCTAGGAGATAAAATGTGGACGGATTCTGCCCTTCTTCAGGGCAACTATGGGAAAGGGTCCATGTGAACCTCTGTGGTTTCCACACCTGGCCATGCATTAGAATCATATAGGCAGCCTATCACTAGCCTATCATTCCATACATGATGAAGAACGAGGGGTAGGGACAAAACTAACAATGGGAGACATAGAGCCTATAGGTAGCAACCTGAAACCCATTGACCATGAGAGTCTTCGTGCAATTTGTGTCAAATACAATTTTTCTTAAATTTTTCTCTCCAAACAAACAATTGTTTTTGAGGCACTGAAGTATCATTTCCGGCATTGTGAAAGTCTCATGGAATAATAGCATACTAGAAGTGGACGAAACTTCACAGGTTTGTCCCCTCCCTTGACAGCTGAAGAGACCAAATTTCAGAGGGGTAAAGTGGCTCGTTGAAGGTCACCAGAATCCAGATCTGGGTCTTAGTTCAGTGCTCTTTCTGCCAAGCAATTCTGCATCCCTAAATGTTTATCTCAATATTATTAGACATCCTACTGACAAAAACTGTTATTCCTTGGGTTTAATTTGAATGTACAATTTTGCATACCTACAGCTATCCTCAGAAACAAACTCTGACTATTGAAAAAAACGATTCCCTGTCCATGCCATTTTAATGATTTAGATTTCTTCAACAAGCATAAGACCCCAGCTTGATTTTAAATGTCAGGACTTTCTGTATTTCATTTTCATTTTTAAAGGTTATTTTAATATAAATAGGGGGCAGGGTAGTAGGAGAAGAGCAAGCAGATTCTGGCACTCCTCTTGTTTCATTAATGCATAAACCCTTCATTTAGGCCTCTTCATTTGCCTCTCAGCCATGTATTTGAATTTAAACAAACCATATTTTCTCATTTATTTCCCCATTACATTTATGCCAACAGATTTCAGAAAGAGAAATGAAGGAAATATTTGCCCCACCTAAACCATTCTCCTGCCCCCAGAGACTGCTCTTCTGCTTTTAACAGCAGTTTTCTGTCAGTAAACACTTTACTGGGTGGAATGTTTTTTGTGCCAGAAAGAACTGATGCTTATTGAAGGAGCAGCTGGTCACCTGCCACTGACTTGAGGAGAAAGAAGAGAAATTGTATTAGAGCTCATTCTCATCCTAGAGCAGTTGCCACTAATCTCTCTTCCCATTTACCTTTTATTCTTTCTCAATATTTTGGACCAAAGAACCAGGCCATCTTCCTAGTGTATCTTCAACTCTATATACATAGATGTGAGTAATGATTTTAGTGTTTTTTAGGAGAGGGGGTCATTTTCATAAGATAAAATTTATTAGACCTTTTAATACGTTCCCTTTCATCTCTCTTTTTAAAACAGTATCTTTCCATCAAAGCATCAAGGAATTATAGGGAAAAAAATATGTTGGAGCATCTAGGCTCTTGTTAGATAGTTATAATTCTGAGTGGACCAATGCCCTTTGGTAAATGAAAATGACAGTCTCAGAAATTAAAGTTTTTGAGGTTCTTTACACACTAGGCCTTACTTGTCATGGAATCCCTTAATTGAAATTTAACTATGAAACTATTAGGGGGGAAACACATGGAATTCTCATTAAATACAAAAAACCTGCAAAATTTTTTAAAAAAATCACCGGGCAAGAGGCTCTGCTAAGAGCTTATCATTTGAAAGGGGAAAATTTTTACTTAAATAAATATCCAGTCCATTAAGTAACTTGACTTCATATGCAGACTGGGACTATTTCCTTTGACTAGGCTCATGATGCTAAGTTGCAGAGAAGAGCATGAAGAAGGAATGTAACTTTGGGGAGATGTGATGTTAAGAGCTGGAGACCTGAGGAAAGAAATGTGGTTCTGCTTTTCCAGCCTCTTCTTTTTTTTTCTATCTCATCTAACCATAAATTAATCTAAATTCTTTTGCACCTAATGTCAGACTCATTTTCTTAGCACCACCCTCAGCAAAACCATAAAGTAGATATTATTTTATGATCTGTTTTCTTATACAAACAACTAGTGTCTTCATAATTCTTTGTGCCCAACAACCCATTTTCCTAAGTCGCTGACAAGGGTGTACCTGCTTGACCCTCTTACAGCTAAGATCAAGCTATTCTTTGGACAGGGGAGGGTTCATGTGCCCTGGGGTTAACCTGGGAGGAGGTAGACTAGGAGCGGGCATTGGGTACAGTGCATGGAACAGAGCTTAGAAATCTAAGAGGCAGTATACAGGGAAAAACTAAAACCAAACCTGGGTAAACTAGACAAACCAGTCATGATCTCAAAGCGGGTAATGGGTGGAAGAAGATCTGGGTAAGAGGCAACGGGGTGACTGGAGCCTAGGGGAGCCAGATGAGAACTACAGAGTTCAAAGCACAAAGTGGGAGGTGGGGCCTAGGGTAAAGCAGGGCTTGAATGCTCTTTATATGGGAACTGTGGGTGGTGAGGTGGCCTTAAGGTGTCTATTTGACTCACCTCACCTATCTACCTGTGCTAGTAATTAAGCTATAAACTCTCAACTCAAAACTCATCCTTCTATATTCTGCTCTGTGAAACTGGGCTGAGGTCTTACTGATGACATTGCTCCTTTGCCAGCTGTTTCTCTGTTAGGCTAAGCCCATAGTGGATTCTAGAAGGATACTATTGAGCTAGTAGGAAAATGAAATCACTTCATCGAGTCTCACCCACCAGACGTAATGGGGATAACAGCCACATCAGCCACATTATTAGGATTAAACGAGCCCACTAGGCCCAGTTCCAGCGAAAGTACTAGGTGCATGTAAGGATGGGAGTGGGGAGTCCTGATTAATATGGAGTCAGTTGGGGCCCAGTATTAGTCAGGATCCAGTCAGGAAAACAAAAGCCACAATAATTATTTTAACAGAGAAAGTTTAATATAAGGCAGTAGTTAAAAAGACATTGGAAGACTGAAAAAGCAAAGGTAAGATGCTGAAGTATCACAGAAATGGCAGGAAGTAGCTACTATCCTAGGCTGGGAGAGCAAAGGTAAGAAATTGGGGTAATTAAAACACTGAAGCTTGGAAGGGGGAGTTCAGACCCAGTTTTCTGTGGAAAGGACACTAGGTGCCTCAGAGGAATGTGGGGGGAAAACGAAATCAATTGTCACTTCTAGGATAGGTTGTTGCTGGGACCTGACTGTACTGATGTTTTCCTTTTCACTTCTACTCAGAAGCTCAGAGTCCAATGGGTAGCTCATCTTTGGCAAATGAGTAGAACTTCATGTCATTATAGCTGCAATGATTTTTCTCATGTTACTCTACTTGTGATCATTTTATTTTAACACATTTTATATTATATGGTATATTCTTTGTGAATCTCCTCAAAATCTTTTGGAAAACCCCAGAATTATCTACCTCCATCTATATTACATCTGTATCTTCATTTATATATTCATCTACAACTTCTCTATCTCCTTTTATACTTAATTTCTACTGCCATGTGTTCCTCATCTATACTTCTATCTATGCCTTTATCCACATCTATAATTATGAGTGAGACAGGATAATCCAACTCTGTCTTTATAATTTCAGTTGTGTGTTTTAAACCTACATTTGAATATGAAAGGATAATTAGAAAGCTTTTAACATAAAGGCAGCTCCCATCTGCTCTTCAACCTCCACTGTGTTTCATGAGAAAGCCTCACATTGAAAGATGTACTAATAGGCCTGTGATATAGAACCCCAAACTTAAAAAGTTCTAAACCATCAAGATATCCCATTCATCATTTTATATTTTGGAAAGGATATAAAAAATGAAATGTCAGAGCTATAATGTCAGGACCGTTTAAAATGTCAAGTGCTTGTTGTTGCATAGCCTGGCTGTCTGCTGTTCTGATCAAACCTCCAACTGGCATAATAATTGCACATGATGCATTGCATTTTCATTCACAACTGGACCCAGATTTATAACAAATCAGATAGAAACATTCTCATTGCCCGGCCTGGAATTTTCTTCTTTTACTCCATAGCTTAAGACTTTGCCTTTGGAACAGAACATTATTACTGATTCAAGATAGCATTTGGGGAAAGAAATAAGAAAGAAGGGTAGAAGAAAAGTTTCTCAATAGACCAGAACTCAATCATTTATAATATATAGATGCAACAAGAGTCAAAATACAGTAAACACATTTACTGAATTCATGTTTCATCTAAGAATACTAAACTGTGGGGAAAGTTGCCCAAATAATCTAATTCTATTTCAAGATGCAGACTAATTTAGGTCTGCAAGGAAACATACGTGTGAGCTCTATTTTGAACTGATAGATGTGCAGACAGTCCTTCAGTTTAATCACCATGTTCTAATCTGCACAGAGAGCACTAATGCATAAACAGAAAAGCAACAAAGCTTCTGTTTTGTATCTTTATGGAAGTCTCTGTGGAACTTAAGATGAATGATGTATTCATAAACTGATACCAATTTTAATAAAAACCTGAAATCAATAGTGTGTACATGGGGAAAATTTAATTTCTTCTCAACTAAAAACTGGAAAAAGCATTCTCAAAGCCACTTCATTTTCACCTTCCCTAGAGCAGCAGCCTTGTCAGGTGATTTGGAGGAAGCCGCCTCCTGTGTCTGGCTGCTTCCCGTTGCGAATCAGTTTCAGTACACTGGAAAAGTCAAAGCTCTTGGAAACAATCTTCAGAAGATCCTGATCTTTTTTCGTGCCATCGATAAATTCTTCTAAAGTCAATTCTCCTAGAAAATAATAAATGAACAATTAACTGAGAGGCTTTGTTCATACCACTCACCGGCATATACAATATATTCTGATATTCTTTCACTTCAACCAGACTCTTTGAATATTCATGATTCAAATAGAAAAGCATTAAATGTTAGGGTTGCTAGTGAAAATAAAGATGATGAATGCAATTTATTTTTTATGTTGAGTTGAGAATGTCAGGTAATGCACCTGGGTTCACATATACATTCACATATCTACACAGTATGGATTATTTGACCTTTGATCTTAAAGATATAACCAAATCAGAGGAGTGTAAAGATGGCCGCTTTTTTAAGATCAGGAGGAAAATGATTGCTTGCAAGGCTGTTTTTAATATTCTTCTCCCTGAGGAAAAAATTCCAGACTGTCCAAAGCTGTGAAGAAGATTAAACATTTATTCATTCCACATATAATTAATGGTCATTAGTTCTCCTCTCTTTTTCTGATTTTTGATTCCTAATTTTATCACTTTGACTTAAGCCTTAAGACTATGCTGGCCAGTCCAGTGCTATAAAACACCTTATACCTATGTATACTGGCTGCCATGTTTTTCCACTACTTTTATCCTACAAAGCAACTTTTTAACATTGGTGGGTACAGTGCATGGAGTGGGGTTCTCTGTTGACTTAAATAATTTGTATTGTAATTATCAGTGTATTCAAGTTGAGGGGTACAGATGCAATTGCTGATCTGAAAGAGATTATACTGAATAGGGTTTGTGGCTGGGTGGAAGGCCAAAGACAAGTCAAGTACATTCAGGAACTAGAGAAAGTGCACCTAGGGCAGAAACTGAAATCAAGTGTTATACTGTACTTGTACAGCATAACTTGTACTTGTACTTATACTTTTTAATGGATAAAGACAAATGTCTAAAATGCCACCATAGTGATTCAAATATAAATAAGCATATTGCTTTCACTGGCAAAATACTAAAATACGGTTTTTAGAGTAATCTTTACTCCTTATGTTTTTGTGTTAAAGAAATCTGTGCAAAACACCCAACTAATAGCAGGCAGGAATAGAATTCCCTATGTCTCCCAGGAAAAATGCAATTCTACAACTATGGAAAAACCAAAGTGAAATACAGAAAACTGAAAATGAAAAGGAGTGGTAAGCATGTGTACGGGTCACACAGACACAGATATAGTGGGGCAGGGGGACCATAAATAACAAAAAGATAATTGTTCTTTGCAAAGGGAAATCACAGCTGCTAAATTTTCAACCCAAAAGATTTTTCAAATTTCTAGCAGCTCAGAATGACTGAAAGAGAAGTAGAAGTGGAGTTGGGAGATTTGAAGTTGGTTTTGACCACTAAGTTGTAACACTTCTCCATTATCGCTGCTGGCCGTGAAAGAAGCTGTATCTGCAGGCGCTGGGTATAGTTGCCATGTTGATGGAAAAGCAATACAGTATACTGACGTGGAAAAGAGAGAAAGTAGGGAAATATTTTTAATTGAGTTATAATTGACATATAACATTTATTATAAGTTTAAGGCATAGAACATAATGATTTGATATATATCTATATGAAACATTACCACGATAAGTTTAGTTAACATCCATTACCTCGCAGTCAACAATTCTTCTTCTTACGATAAGATCTATGCTCTTCTCAGCTTAAAAGATGAGAATCTTCACTGTTGTTTTTTCACTTTCTTCAAAATACCTCGAACTACGCATAATATTTAATTTAATTTTTTCATGGTACCTAACCGCTTGCCATAAAATTTTTTCTCTTTTCCAAATTAAGCCAAATTTTACCTATAGTAACTTACAATGTTTACTATTTATGTCTAAAGTACTTATTTTGAAATTTTCCTCACTCTTTTCCCTGTAGCACTTAGCATTTATTCACTTATTTATCAAAGATTTATTAAACCCTAGTGTAATTGCCATTTTCTTCACCACACTGCTACCACGGGTACAGCTGACTACAGGGCTGTGAATGTGGGAGGTGCTGAGAAAACACACACAAGTGAATCGCTTTCCTTTATCTGATATTCTTAAACATTGCTTCCTAATTCTTTTCAATTGGCCTGTGGATTCAGGCTCAAAGAAATTAAAAAGTTGGTTTCTGAATCTCCCTAGAAAGGATCACCTGTGCAGATCCAAAAGTTTTCCATGAAAAAATTCTACGAGCAAAGAGCCAGAGCCGGTGATTGAGCTGCAGATCATGGGACTTAGAGGACGTGAAATGATTTTTGGGTTTTCATTATTTTGTTTTATATTTAAAGACACATTTCGATTTTTGTAGGGCATAATTCAGAAATTACACAATTTTATTTTTTATATGTTGAAATATACAGATACACATAATTTACCAATAGTATTTAGCATTGTTTGTTGTGTTGGTAGACACGTTCTCTACTCCTGGAGGTCAGAGTTACGGGTGTTCTTCTATCACTCACCACCAATTTCAGCAGTTTCATGGACAGCTATCCATGAATTTTTTTTTAATCCTGTTTTTGCAATCTGGCTATCTTGTTGATATTCCTGAATCATGATTTCTTCTCCTTAACATCTTAAGTATCTTTTATAACAAAACAAAAAATCACCACTCCTCACTTCCCTCAAAAAAAAACAAAAAGCCAAATTTTACTGTGTATGCTCACATTAGCATATTCGCTCTATAGGTTTCTTTCTTTCTTTCTTTCTTTCTTTCTTTCTTCCTTCCTTCCTTCCTTCCTTCCTTCCTTCCTTCCTTCCTTCCTTCCTTCCTTCCTTCCTTCCTTCCTTCCTTCCTTCCTTCCTTCCTTCCTTCCTTCCTTCCTTCCTTCCTTCCTTCCTTCCTTCCTTCCTTCCTTGCTTCCTTCCTTCCTTCCTTCCTTCCATTCTTTCTTTCTTTCTTTTTTTCTTTTCTTTTCTTTTCTTTCCTTTCTTTTTTTTAAAGAAACCAGCCTGTGTAAAGAAAAAAATATTTTCCAATTCTTTCTAATTCTTTTAAATAAGAATTTTTTGAAATATTGTGCCAATATTTCAAAAAATGGAAAATTAGCAAAGATGGGAATGAGGGTCTCAGGAGACGAGAATGACCAGATTTTCAAAGGAGGATGCTGAAGAAGATTTTCAAGGAGACAAATTTGTATTCCTTAGCAAGGTGGCACTAGAGGCGTTTAGCAGCATTTTATAGCAGTTTTAAGTGCAGCAGTTTCTTTTCTTATATGGGGAAACTCGATTCCTTCTTATCTCCTAATAGTTCCCAGTTTCCCAGTTTGGTTCACTGTGGCTTTTGTGGCTTTCCGGAATGTTCCAGTCTAAAATACTTCTTTCTGGTTATTCACTCAGTGTCTTCTTTTATGTTTTGTCCCTGTTTTCTTTCATTCTAAATATCTGCTCAATAATCATCTCTTTCATTTCCCCTTTGGCCTCTTGTCTCTTTCCACTTTTGTGATTTATCATTATGAGCCACTTAAGTCTTCTTCGTCTTCATGCTATTTGGCACTATGTTAAACTTGCCTGGGCACTTTCGGCACTTAATGTTGTGAACGGCATCTATAAATCTTCCTAAATCATGTCAAGAACGACTCCTGAGCATCTCATAGTAGAATGTGAATAGCTATTCTGTCTGTAGGAAAGTCTGCAGAATTCCATGCTCAATCAATTATCCTGACTTGTCTCGCTGTCCTCTCCGTTTTCATTCTTCAATAATATTGAATGTTGAGCTTCAATTTTCTGTCTTTGTGCTTCTCTTCCAGCTCTCCTTCCTGGATGCTTTCATGCATAATATAAGAATAAAACTATCTTGTTGAATTATAACAATAATATACGCTCATGGTATAATTCAACTATAGAAAGATGTCATGAAAAAAGAATCCCCCTTTAATCTCTTTCTGGACTCTCAGTTTCACTTTCCATTGCTAATCAGTCCATGTTTATATTTTATGAAATTTACAATGCATATGCATACATATGTTAGTTTCCAAAATAGCCTCCTAGATGTCTTTCTTCCTACCAGTAGTATTGAATACCGTGCTTTTTTCTTCTTTATTTCTTCCTTTGCTTTCCATACGACATCTTATCAGACACTCATTCATTACAATTATTTATAGAGTACCTACTATGTGCCAGGAAGGATGAGAGCACAGGAAATACCAAAGTACGTAAAATAGAAATAGTTCTTGTCCTCATGGAGCTTATAGCTCTTCATCTTTTTATTTTCTAATTATTAATTCTATATCTCTTTTTCTATTAATCTTCTAACTTTGATTTGCTAGCTACCATGATAATTATGTACAGAAGACTTCATAGCAGTTGTGTATTTTTTTGCACCATTAGATTTGATGTTGGCCATTGTTTTGGAAAAAACAAAATGCAGTCAAATTGGGGTTTTCACATATGTTCCTGAAGTTTTCTTGGTTATATCTCAGTGTGTTGTGATCTTCTTTATCTTTGGTTTCAATATTCACTGGATTATCAGATACCAATGATGTGTTTGCTTTTCATTTTGAGAATTCAAAAATTATATATGTTGGCACATAGTCAACATGATTCTGGCATATTTAATTTCTACTAACACTGATGTTTTGATAACAATGATAATAAAAATTTTAAAATCATATATGAGGTCTATATATTTAGGCTTATACAAATATGAAGAGATATTCTCCTCTGTGGTGCTTTCTCTTTATATGTGAATGAAACATTTTATTCTCCTCTGTCAAATACTGGCAAAATCCTTTTACACTTATGCAAATATCAACCTTATACGTCTTCATTACTTTCTCTTTCTTGTCCTCTGGTGCACTGAGTTATCTTTGTCCAACAGTACAAATTTAGTATCTCCTCTTTTTAAGATTTTATTAAATTTATTGGGGTAATGTTGGTTAATAAGATTATATAAATTTCAAGTGTACAATTCTATAATACATCATCCGTATATTGCATTCTGCATTTACCACCCAAAGTCAGTTTCCTTCTGTCACCATATATTTGACCCCCTTTACAAATTTCTACCTTCTACTTTCTACATGGAATGACCCAACTGTCTCTTGACGAGATGATATATCAACCTGCAATAATTTCCATATAAAAGCAAATTCTATGTTTTAGCTCTGCATATGCATTTTCCAAGAAACAGTGGTTTATTGTTATTTCAAAATGCAGCTAGTTTATTTGATATGTTCATTTTGTAAAATCAGTGAGATTTTTTATATATGTATATACATATATATATCTTTAAATACAAGTTTTATCAGAGGAAATAATTTGTGTGATTAGTTCTATAAGCTATTCCAGAAAACATAATGCATTTTCTCTCTTTAGACATATTCTTCTAGGTCAAAGAGCCCATTTTCCTAACTGCAGGTCACTGCAGTGATCACCTAAGCACAACACCTCACTCCCCCAGATCCACATCCATTTTCAACCCAGCTGTTTCTATTTCTAGGCCTCTTCCAACCATATTCCCCTTTGGTTGCTTATGTTGTGTTCTTAAGGAATCTACTTAAATAGTAAACAAAGCGTCTTGAATTATTTTCTTGTTTTCTGGGACACATTGTCTGTCCCGTTAAACTAATAGAAACTAAGCCTCTTTTTAAAGATAGCACAATCCTCATACTTCTCCATGAAAGGTCACCTTTTTTATTCCCCTATTCTCAGCACCAGAAGCAGGATCTATAGATATTTTAAAACATACTTGACCTGCCTGTTTGAAATTCACTGTATACTAAGTCTTAAACATTTGTGATGTCCCATCTATTTCCAGAATACTCATCTTTTGATCAATGATTTCAGCCCCCTGGCTGAAATGGTTTATTCTCTCTACTTTACTCCTTGCCATCCTGCAGCACCTCTAAGATTAAAAATTGAAACAAAGTGGAAGAAAACTTACAGCATTTTTCCTGTTAGATGATTGCCATTTTTGGTTGCATCTTGGTGTGTTGTGACCTTTATCTTTGGTTTCAACATTCACTGGATCATCAGACACCAATTAAGGTTTCATTAGACTCATAAAACCTTCTATTCTCCATTTTTCTGGACCTTTTCTGGCTTAACTTGTCTTCCTTATCAACACTGGTTAATCTGAACCTGTTCTTTGCAAGCATCCACATAAACTGACTTATTTTAATTTTGATCCACATAGACCTAAACATGAGTGATTACACCAAATGGCTTTGATATTGGTAAAGTTGTTTTTCTAAAACTTATACTCTCGTCCAGTTAGTTGGCTCATTCATAATGGCGATTTAATTTGACCTCTCTCCCAGCCTCCTTTGTCATCTCATCATGCCAGACTGAGCCTCCGCTTTCAACTAGTGCAAACTGCCACACTCAACTTAGGTCTCTATTGCTCTCTAGTGTTCACTATAAGAAATGACTCATTGTAGGCAGGTGGATTCTGTGGTAAAAGTTACTGTGGAATGATGACTCCATAGCTGGAGTCCCAATATCTCATATCCATTCTTTTTCAAAAATCTCTTACTAATATTACACAATTCCAAACTTTTTACACAATTCCAAACTTTCTGGTTTTTCAAGAACCATTCCTAGATATGCTGCCTCAGTCTCAAATCAATATGCTCACCTACCAGTTTACTGATATTAAAGCCATTGGTATAAATACTCCCCCTTTTTTGAAATATCTGTGTTTTCCCTTTCCACTCCATCTTTGAAGAAGAAGCACACTTTTTTTGATCCGGAGAGGAAACCAGATTTTAGGGTAGAAAGGAAAAACAAAGAAATGAGCAGAAAGAGTAAAGATGTAGAAAAGGTAGAAAGAGCAGAAATGGAGACAAGTATGGACAACACTTTCCAGAATTGTGTAATCAAAGGGAAAGAAAAAATCTGATAGGAGAAGATAGCATAATTGAAGGAAGGATTTCTTCACTAGGGAAAACCAACGGTTATTCATAAGTTGATGAGAAACCTCTAGTAGAAAGGAAATAATAACTGTAAAATGTCCCAGAGCAAACGGCAGAGGATCCTTCATCTCAGCTTCTCTTACTTTCCTTTTTCTGTTATCTCCCTTTACTCTTCCTCATATATCTCAAAGTGCAAGCATCACGTGTTGAATATAAACACGGTCAATGAATATTTACTCAATTGCGTGGCATTAACTGGAAAACACTGAGCTGGTCAAACTATGAAGCTGAAATGATACCGCAGCTAGGGTTCAGTTGAAATTTCATGCTTTTATCTAAATGGCACTCCCCCCACCACAACCACCATCTAGTTTGTAAGAAAAGTGAGCCTGAGGAGAGTAGCTGCCTTACCATCATGGTTTATATCAATCTTATGAAACACCAAGCTGGTGAATTCTTCAGGACTCAGAGTTTGCTGGCCATTGAGAGTTTGTACAGTCTGCAGAGAGAAATTAAATCAGAGAGTTCAATTTTGCTGCAAGTAAATACATTTTTGTGACATTTCTACCCCAATGTGACAGAATTTTGTGATGTGTTCATGTCAGTTTTGCTATCCAACGTGTTATAGTTGTAAAAAAATAAATAAAAAGATTGTATGTCAGTTCTGAGTAATGGGGCTTGGAAATTAAATTAACTGAATACAATCTGAGGTTTAATCCATTCAACATATTAGGTCACAGAAGATACTAAGAGCCCGCTGGACAAAAAGTGGTAGTGGTCACTGTCATAAGAATTTCAGACTCAAAACAGACAATGTTTTCAATTTTAGACCAATTATCTTTGATCTTATGGATGAATTAAAAACTACGTTCTGTAAGCAACCAGTGCTTTCTCTCTGGGTTCTGACATGGGCACCTCTGGTTCTTTTTACCCTTTTGCAGAATGATCTGCTAGAAAGACAAGAATGTATGCCTCGGAAAGACATCGAACTTCTCTCACACCTGCTGGCATTTTTTCATTGTATAAGCTGTCAGGCGACCCAGGGAAAATTACATTTTCAGATTTTCTAGAGAGAAGATTTCACTACTGTCTTCCCTCCGCCCTGTGATTAAATTAAATGACCCATATTTGACATAGAAACTTAACAATAAAATGAAAGAGAGACAGAGAAAGAATTAGTCACCTGGGAATTTGAATATATCTATCTTGATTGAATATCAAAGAATCTTTAGAAAAACTGCTGGCAACATATTTCAATTAGAGGGCATGATCTTAAATATGACTTTCTCTATTGCTGCTTCCCAAGCATTACTAATTCTGAATCCCTTACGCTTATTAGATGAAAATGTTAGAGTTTCTCAATGCCTTGGCAGAGGCCCCAAAGCCTAGAAAATTTGGCTAGGCAGCTAATAGTCTCACATCCTAAAGTGATACTAGACCGTATGTATAAGTTATAATAAACAATTATGAAATTTCTAGGATTTGTCCATTAGCCACCTCCTGGTAATATAAGTATGAGTGAAGGATTGAGTAAAAAGTTGATGAGGCTTAAAAAGGGGTAATATTTTTGGAGGGTGTTGTCAGTGTGTCCCGTGTCTTCCCGCTTCTTCTTATAGGAGAAGCATGGTGGGGAGATGGGCAAGGAGGTGAGGTTTGTTTCCTTGTTTCCTTCCTCATTTATCATATGCTCTTTCTCCTGAATTTTGCTAAGACCTTCTCTGACCACTTTCTAAGTGAGAGCAGGAAGGGATAGGAGAGAAAAGGGAAGCAAGAGAGCTCTGACTTGGCAGATACTGTCGTGGTTATCAAGTTTCATGGCTCTCTGGATGGCAGATGCTTAAAGTCCACTCTTTTTCTGAGGACAGCACCCCCCGCCCCATCTCCTTTTCATTATTGAGACTCTCTCTCCTGCAATTCTCTAAACATAAATCATGCATTTTGATTTCGCCTTATCCTTTGAGGCTCCATATTTGGGTTTCTCACAATTGACATTTTGGATCATACAATTCTTTCTTGTTTAGAATCATCCCGTGCACTGTTGAATGTTTAGCAGCAGCCCTAGTCTCTAAACAGCAGATAGTGCTAGCACCACATCCTCCCCAACTTCCTGGACATTGTCAAGTGTCCCCAGGGGGAAGAGGAGAACAAAATTGCTCCTGGTTGAGAACCATTCTCTAGCTCCATCTTCAGCTTTCTTCTTCTAAGGTTTCTTTACTTCTCCAAGTAGTTCAGCTTGGACAAGATCCAAGATGACTCTATGACAGCTTCTTCTCACAGTGGCCCTTATCTGATCCACTGAGAAACCCAAGCTTCCTTCATCCCAACAAATTTTAGGAATGCAGATACTTCTTAAACTTTATCCCTCTACTGCTTCACATTTCTCCCCAAACTGTGTTTCCCAAACTGTAGAGTACATCCACATCCCAGTGGTCTCCCTAAATCCCCACACTATTGACTTGAGGACTCTTACCCAAGAAATCTTTTCCTATAATCCTTCTCAAAAACCCTCCTCTTGACCATTTTATACCCTTGAAGTGAGATTAAGATATAGCTACTTCCTTTCTAAATTCTGTCTATAATCTAGTACTTACTTCAGATCTCTTAATACCTGGGCTGAATTCTGTTTTAACATTCCATTACCATGTGTTGAGAGAACTTACATTATATAACATGTATTATTCTTTACCCTGCTGTTTCTCTTTCACTTGCCATAATATAGAAAGTATGTTTGTAGATCACTAATTTTTTTAAAATTATATATTCCATTGCATTAATTTATTTAAAATTTTCTTTTTTAGTTTGCTTTTTATTTTTACTGTCTTAAGTGAGTTTGTGATGTAAATCGTAGAATTTCCATCTTAATAACATTAATATTTGTTCTTCCTGAACTAAAATAAATAATATTGACTTTAAAATAAAGATAAAATTTTAGTTTCTTGATGCAGACTACTAAATTTCCAAGAATGTTGTATACATTTATACTTTCTCCACAGTGTGTAATGTGGCTCTCCTTAAAGTGCCCTTGCCAGAAATATATCTTATTGTTCTTAATCTTTATTAATTTAATTGATGAAAAACAGCATCCAATTATTAATTTCTGCTCTGCCCTTTTATTATTTCAGTTTCCTTATTTCCTTTTTATCCTCTTTCTAAACACTTTAAGGAAAAACTAAATTAGCTACTTAATATCTCTTTCCTTGACTCACTAAGTTAAACATTTTTAACTAATGAAAATCTGTGTACATTTTCCCATAATATTTAGACAAAATCACTTTTATCCTTTTGCTCTTCCTAATTCTTTTGAGAGTCTGATGAATCTCTCTCTACTCCCTAAAATGGATAACACACAGGCAAAATTTTGCCCTCAATTTCAAAGGCCTCCAGGATTCCTAAAGGCCATAGACCTACAGATCCCAGGATAAGAACTTCTGCTCTGGTATTGCTTCAGAGGCATCCCTTAATATTTACATACTGTATTACACATTTGATGTTTTAAAAATAAATTTGAACATATTTATTTTAAAAGATATTTTCAAATTTACATGAGGTTAAGCACTCTCTACAGAATATCCTAGATTCCCAATTTTGTGTTGCAACCTGTAGTATGGATGCACAAATTTTGAATTTAATGCTTATAAAGTTTGACTACAAAGTGCTTCTTAGTATTTTTTTTGGTGAATGATCTATGTAAGATTAAAGGGAAGCAATATTAGTATTATCATACTTTTGAATTCTTTCCATATGTTGATAACACTACATTTGCTAAATAGTTTTAATTTTAACAGTTTTGTCCATTTGTTGAGGCATTTCATTATAAGTGTGGTTCTACCCATTTATTTTTTCTTGTATTTTTGCTAATATTTCTACTATGTCTTATGTTTGTAACTCAGCTTCTTCATTTCTAAGTGAAAGAATTCAGACCAGATCATTTCTAAGACATCTGATTCTAACTCTGATTCTGTTACAAGTTCAACGTATTGCATTTATAATGTTTATTTTACTTCATATCTTCATTTAGGTATAGTGTCCCACTTAATCATCTTTTACTCTGAAATTAATTTTATCTCATATAATGATAATAACTATCTTTACTCCATTGGCAGATATTAAACTTTAGAGATAGACAGATTCTGAGACCCCCGAGCTATCAGAAATACTTTAGTCAGGCTTCCAGAAAGAATAGTCATCAGGTACCTTTATTCTTAGTCCATGTCTCTTGTTATATAAACTATCCTGTATTTTCGTTGCTCACTGAGGCAGAGAAAAAAGATTTAGAACATCATGTTTATTTAGTTTTTTATCACAATACCTGCTAAATTTGTAAACTTCAGAGTGGACTGCATCAACAAAAAAACATCGATTTGCATTTGTACCCTCAGTAACCAATACGAGTGAAATTTACATTGTTTCCACAATTCCAAATTTATGTCTCAAAAATAGTCAACCACATAGCTGTCACCAGCTCTATAAGGAAGGAGAATTGAATTAACTATATAATGTCCTATAGAGGACATTTTATGACTTCACTTACCATGAAGATGTTCAGTAGTTCCTTTTTGTCTATAGAACCATTTCCATCAGCATCATACAGCTTAAAATACCACTTTAATTTTTGCTCCATTTTTCCCCGTACAACTAGATTTACAGCAGCAATAAACTCTAAAAAGTCAATAAATCCATCCTACGGAAAGCAAGGTGGAAAGAGAAATAAGTAATTAAGAAAAACAATTGTTTTACTCATTGTTTATGAGTAGAACCTTTGGTAAATTTAATACAATCCACAAGATTTTAGCATAGAACTTTTCCCTAGGGCTTCATTAAAAAAACAAACAGACAAACACATTGGTAATATGTATAGAAACGAGTAACTTTAAATATATAGGTAAGTGCTTTTTAGAGAAAATATCTACTTACTATGCCAAAAAAAAAAAAAGTTTCTGAAATGCCATGATGGAAGGCTGAGTCCTCACCACTGAACACCCTACAGTGGTTGTCTTCTCCTCAATATTTTCAGGTTTTGCCATCCACTCATGGAGAAGACCGGGTACTAATTTTTAATAGAAGGAAAACATCAAATAGTTTAATTCTGTACTCCTTTTGAGATAAACTGGTTGATCTTTTTGGACTGTTAAATTCCAGGATTCCTTTTAAGTGCATAATTTTCAGCATGAATCAATATTTGTGAACCTCTTCTATAAAGATTTTGTCTTATTAGTCAATTTTAGTAAAGGGTTACATGCTTAGGTAGTTCTCATTCTGTTTTAAATTGGTAGAGCATTCTCATTTGAAACAGAAACCGTCTGTGTCATTCTTGATAATCACACACTTTAAACTGTGTTCAGCCAGATGCTCAACTATCTTAAGATAGTTGTGTGACTTTTCCCATGAGTCCAGTTGCCGATGGTAGCACATCCAGCCCAAGACATGCTTTCAGCTGCATTCTCTTTGGAATATTTAGGATGTCTAATTCTAATTACAAAATAAGATATGACACAAATTACTTTTTCTTTTGGAAATAAAGGGCTTTAGACTTATTGCTCTATGAAATGACATGTGTTTGCCTTGAGTCTCAAGCATTTATGTCTAGTTCCACCAAGTCTATGAGAAAAACAACTGAGAAATCACCAGTGGTTCTGGATGTGAAACAAAGCCTGTTTGGCTGGTCAATGCCTCCTTTTTTTAAAGATGACTACAACACCTCAGATATTGAAAGCCAATGTGTTAATCACTATCTATAACTTTGTCTTCAAAATGTATTACATTTATTAATTTGCTACGTTGTGGATGTTTCACCTCTATAGTATAGAATATATATTTAAAAATTATTTCACTTTTTAAAATTCACATTTAAAAATTAATTTGAGCATTAGAGTTTTTACATTTTATAATTTAGGCATCTCTACCCCATCAACAACTTTAATACTTCTTATGAGATAAGACTTCTGCTAACAGATGGGAGTCTGAATGAATGAGTCTTCTAAAGGAAGTTTGCTCAAGTATATAAAATGTATAGTGATTTTTACTTTTACTCCATCTGCCTTTCCTATTGCTCATTAATACCACCTTATTAATCCCTATCAGGGATAAGGGAAATATGTTATCACAGAGTTGAAATTTATTTAAGATGACATCAAGATATTATATATCCAGATATGACAAGACATGACCACTATTTTTCAGAAACAGGACTGGCAGGTGTATAAGATATCACCTGGGTGGACAGTATCTAACCAGGGACACATCTGCTCCCAGGTCTTCCTCTTGTATCTCTAGGGCTGACCAATTAATACAACTGTTACTTGAGTAATTACTAAGCCTGTTCACCAAAAGGTCAGAGAAGCATCCTCCTGGCAAAGACTAAGCTGGCTTGTTACAAAGTTGATTCTCCAGTGTTCACATATAAACCTGATATTTTGTGATGGTTTGTTTCACTTTATGAGTCCCGCTTCAGTGATCACAATTTTCTGTGTCACCTGCATGATAAATGACAACAGGCTAGATTGAACAATGTTTCCTTTAAAATATTTGGTACTTTACAATTAGGCACAGTGGATGGGTGATCCTAACAACTTCCAATCCAGGCTCTGAAAGCTCTGGGAAAACCCTACCTGGAGATGAGAGTTAGTATTTTCATTGCGTGGTTTTAAAATGAACGGCCTGGTTAATCTATGGCCAAGTTGACTGTAGGCGAGGAAACTTTTCTACTTAGACAAGCGCAGCCTCTTCAAAAGCTCCCTTAAGCAAAATATTTTCTGTTTTCAACATTTTGTTATGTATCCAAGCAAATTACTTCTTACAATCAATGACCAACTCTTCCTTCCAAATCTCTTTCTGTTAAGATTTTGTAGAAATTTGCGTTGGTGAGCTGACCCCAGTAAATGTAATTAAATAGCTTGTGTTAGTGTCGGAGAAGGTTTTAGGTAAATGCTTATGCAGCAAATCAGAAAAACAAAAAACAAAAAAACATGTCTTCAATTAATCTATAGATTTCAAGGATGGGAGTAGGGAATAAGAGTCACAGAGATGATGAGGAGATGTCCCTGAAAATATGACTAGAAAAAATGCAATAGAAAATTTCCAAAATCTTTGGGGAGAGCCGAAGGAACACTAGGTTCGGAGTTTTGTAGCTGAGCTACAGGAGTTCCTGTGCACACAAGACTGTCTGGAGATGTCAGACACCCATTGGCCTTGAACCAGGCTAGAGTTCATAAACTCCCTGCATCAGAATCATGTGGGAACAACAAAATATGCAGATTTCTAGACCTCAATCCAAAACAATAGCATCAAAACTACTTTTTAAATGCTCCGCAGGTAAGTCTTATGTATCCCAAGATTTGGGAACCACGGACTGAAGCTGTTTTTCTTATCCATGTCTTTCTTTGTAGGCAATATAATCATCTAGCCATCTCTCCAAGTGGTCATTGAATTATGACTTATTTTTACAAGAATTTATGTACCCTTATAAGACTAATTAGAAAAATTATGACCCACATGGTTCAGTCTCAGAATAATGGCATTTTCACAGGAATACAGTCCAACAATCAAAAATTAATTTCAAAATAACAGCAAGCCTTTACTTTCATTTCTGGAATAAAGACGAGTTACACAAAATTTATGGATTTCTTTATAACATGCCCTTCCTCTCCCATCTGCTCTTTCATATACACTCTGCTGCTCAATCTTCAGCAAGCTCCATTGCCAGTTTCTTCACTGCCAGCTCTAGCACGGGAACACTTCACCCTCTTACTCAACCAATTTTTCTCATAATTCTGCATCACAAAATCCTGAAATATTAATTTGGCAATAGCAGAATCCTCCTTAGAAGTTTAGGAAAGGGTGCAAATTGAGTGCACACAAAGGCATTCTAGTGAGCCTCAGGAAAGAAGAGTTTGGGAGCATGTATACGAAAATAATTTTAATCTCAACATGTTTACATCCTATTCTGAGGATGGAGTGAATTATAGGGAAGAGTTAAATGGGGGTCAAGATGTGGAATCATGATGGTTCCTTGGGCTCCTAAGAGAGTTTGGCTTCATTCATATGTTATAAATCATTTTGTAGGGAGTGTGGTTAGAACAAGAGAGAGAAAAAACAATGTGTGGAGACTTCAAATTTAAGCTTTCTCATGGTCTCTAAAATGTATGAAAACTGTAAAGCATGCTTTTTACATCTATAAAGAAAATATACATATATGGATGTTTCTCTTTCTACCACTAAAGAGAGAATTTTAGAAATCTAATATAATAAAAAAATAAGAAAAGCAAGATCCTATGTACTTCTCTCCAACAAAGAGGTGGAATATGTGGTCTCCAGGCAATAAAGCTTATATACATATGAAAATATTTATTTTATTATTTATTACTAAGTATAAGAACTACTATTTATATATAAAAAAGAAAAACACCCATGTTCCAAGCACTGCACAAGTCACTTTTCATGTATTATCTTTAATTCTAACAGTAACCTTACAGGTAGCATTATCATTATTTTACAGAGAAAAAACCGATTGTCAGAGAAGTTAAATAAAATACACTAAAGTAACAAAACTAGAATGTGGGAGAATCCAGGATTTAAACACTGTCAGCCTTACTCTAAGACCTTTATTCTTTGTACCATAAAACATTGCCCTCAGAACTCATTAACAATTGAATTCTTTTTCTGGAGGAGGTGTCGGTAGACTCGAATAGATGGAAAATATTCAATGCAGTATGTTGTTCTGGATTCCTACATGTGAACCATTTGGTAATGTCACAGTTGCATAACGTAAGATAATGAGGAGTGTCTGAGATACTGCACCTAGGAGCTTGTGCTCCCTTCATATCTGGTGCTGCTCAAATTAAGCTGGCCTGTCTGCTCTAAGCTGCTTAGCCTCAGGGAGACTTGTGAGCCCAGAGGGCTTCTGGGGCCACCACTTCCAGGCCCTCCCTCACCCTGCCCACATCGCCATCTGGCTCAGCAGGATAGAAGTTGTTCATTCTTCTTGTGCCCTCTCCTGCTCCCCACTGTCTTTGATGAACATTTCTTCTGTCCATTTTGGAATCCTCAGTCTCTCTCTCCCTGACCATGGGTTTAGCCTCCAGCACTCCATAAACAGCAACCTTTC